TTTAACATTATTTAGAAAAGGAAAGTGAGGTTGATGTGCTGGTGGCATAGTTAGTTATGGTTACTACATTTTCAGAAAGCGGTAGGAGACCAGAAGAAAGTCCTGCGTGGGAAATTATAATTGCAGCCCCATTCTACTCTTGGCCGGTCACCTACTCTGTCAGTTTCACTCCAGAATGGAACACTGGGTTTTATTTTATTTTTTTCCCTTTGTGTGATTTCCTAGGATGGGTTACTGGACGGTGGAATGGATAATTTTATATGTATCTAATTGTATTAGAATTAGGGCCTCGGGGGAGGAAAGGATAGGGTTTGGGTAGATGCCAGCCCTAGAGTCAGCCTATTAAGTGATTATTCCTTCCTCCCACCCCATAATACATCACCAGTTATTTAGAACAGATTTAAAACACATTCTGTTGGCCCAGTGGCTTACTATATTTATGTAATTCTGCATTTTGTGTTTCGTCCCTGAATTTGGGGACTTATGTGTGGTTATTTTTATTAAAGCTCATGATGATAGCTTCTGTTATCGGCTGTGGTGTATGGGATACACTGACATTCCTTTCCCAGTGTTCCCCACCCTCCTTTTAATTTTGTTCTTTTTATTATGGAAAATTTGATAAAGTACCAGATTGATGGCAGTTACAGTATGTGGATTTGAACCCCAAAGTATGTGTTAGTAATGTGAAGAAAGGGAAAAGTAAAATTGTATGAGTGGATGATTTTTAGAGATGGATTATATAAAATACCAGATGAATTAGTTGAAAACAGCCAATGGCAGGGGTTTTAAAGATTAAGGAATTAAGCCTCATGCTTGATAACACCATGGAGCTTTCAGATTAAGGGTCTGCTCAGTTACTGCCTTAAGCTTCTACTTCCGATGCTTCACAAAATTATAGGAATAACTCTATGTGTAAAGCTTATCCAAACTTTGGGCCTATAATATTACGCCAAAAGAAAGACGGGGGCAAAAAGAAACTGTGAAAGGTGTTTGGCAACGAGCAAGAGAGGGAGCTCACAAACTCTTTGAAGGTCAATTAGCCAGAAAATGTGCTGAAGACTGGGTGCTGTGCTGATTACTGGCCCAAGAATTGCCCCCAAGGTCCTCAAAGTGGTCCTGCCGTTTGAGCACAGAGAGACAATTATAGACCTTGAGGAGATGCTACAAAAGCTTTAATTAAGGGACTTACTTACACCCCACTAAGTTGTGGAAATTAAATTCTTGTTTGTGCTTAACTGATGTTTCTTTTATCTGGGTTTCCACATGTACTTCAACAGAGGACACTATTTTTCCCAAGTCTGTTTTCCGTTCGAAGCCATTTTGCTGTGATGGATACCAGCAAAGCTGAGGGTTTAAACGGTATAAGGAAGTAGGTAGAAAAGTGGGCCGAGAGGCTTTTTGCTGGAGAGTGTTTTGGGCACAGGTTGAAAACTGTAGTATTTATGTACCTTGGTACAACAGTAAACCAGAACTCTGTTTGGGCCTAAATGGGTGATTAAAAGAAAAAGAAGGTACTTTGTAGAATTTGAATTTCAGAATTCCCATTCACAAGGCAACATGATTTCCCTTGAATTGGCAGCTTTATGACTCTGGACACAGCAGGCTGCTCTTCTCCAGAAATATTTTTGTTTGCTAATGAGATCAAAGTAGCCTCTGGCTACCATCCAGGTCTGATTTTTCCTAAGCCTAGACCCATATTTAGGTTCCATTCAGATGTGACTTCTTTTACTTCTGGAAAGACTCTGATTTAAGTTGCCTTGGTCCTAACTAGAGCATTGTGATCACATTGATCCGCTGAGCTCCCCTCCTGCTGATGGAGGAGATGCTCTCATCTTTGAACTCGGGCCTAATTGCTGCCTTAGTGGGGTGTGTTCCCTTTTTTTTGTTAGTGAAGCAATTCTCTTTTTCATCTGCCCTTCTTTGAAGCCATTCACTTCTGTCTGCAAAGTTTGGTTTGAACCATAAAGATTTTTTAAAAGCACTGAGAAATGCTTATGTTCTAGTAACTTAAAATTGTCTTTCAGTATTTCTAGTTCACATACATCAGTCAAGTGGTACAGTTTCTCTCTGTACCCCTTACAAACTTGAAGGCACTTCTGTGTGCCTCTCAGTTTGTCTGAAGAGGAGACCCTTAGCCTTGCTGTAACTCAACAGAGGCATCAATCAGCAAATCTTAAGACCTTGTAGAAATGAAAAATGGCAAGAAAGTTAAAATTGTCATCACAGGTTAAAATGTGCAGTTTTCGGCAAAGTGGAGTTTATACAGAAATCGCATTATTGGGCTTAATTTTCACATGTGGATCGGAAGGGGGGAGCATTAGCATTGGATGAGAGGGCAGAGGACCCCTTTGGTGCCTGCTTCACTGCAAAGCAGCTCCTCTGTGGGGAGGGCCTCTGACCGGGGATAGTTTAGGATGCTGTAGTGACTGGGACGGGTCCATGCTGGGCTGAGAGCTTTTGATATGTGTCATTTAGAATGTTCCCACACCTGGATATGTTTTAAATAATGCATAATATGAATTTCAGTTTTTTGCTTTTCTTTGGAAGGGGGGAAAATTCTATTTAATGATATGAATATTCTTTTGTTTGACCAAGTATTTAGCTGGCTAGTGAGCTTCAGCAGTTTGGTGCAAACTTCTGGAGAGAGAGAGGTCCAGCTGGCTTATCATGCTTGCCAGCTGAAGAAGAACGTGACTGAATTTTGCTTAAAAAGCTCTGATTCAAAAAGTTGCTTTATGACGTAAAAATTCTAAGTTCTTATCTCTTAGGCTTTATTTTGCTAACACTGTCAGAGCTAGCACATCTGGCTTAGATTCTAAAATAGTTTGGTTTTATGCTTCAGTTGAGATGAATCCAATCACATTGGAATTTGAAGATAGATAAAAAGGAAGGATTTGGGTACAGTGAGGATTCTTAAACATAGCAAGGTTATCAGGGAAGTTCTCGAAAACTTCCTCTCTGAATGGCCTTTAAAAATAATCTGGTATCTTTTTCAGATAGTGTAGTTTATTCAGATGTAATTCTGTATAAGGGGTGCCAGGGGTGATGGAATAAATGACTTTGGGGCAGGCCTTTCAGCTCTGATTCTTGGTTATACCACTTACCACCAGCACTTTTACAGACATGTCATGTGAATATTTATTTGGTGGGAGAGGGGGGTGGTCTTTTTTTGGGGGGGGGCACACTGTATGGCATGCAGGATCTTAGTTCCCCGACCAGGCATTGAACCCATGTCCCCTGCACTGGGAGCATGGAGTCTTAACCACTGGACCGCCAGGGAGTACAACTTATGTGTTTTATTTTTGGCCTGGTTTTATCTTTTAAGTTAGGTTTTTTATTTTGACAGAATTAAAACATGCCATCTTTGTCAGATTTAGCAATATTTGTCTCTCTCTTAGGCTGTACATTATCGATGCAGTATGGTTTCTGTATTATTTGATCCCTCTCTCCAAGTGTGGATTAATGCACGTAGCCAAACAATTATGAGCTTCAAATGCAGTTCATTGAAATTTTTGCTTTAATAGTGAAGCAGAATTATTTAGTTTGGGGGCATGTGAGAAACAAGGCCACCTTATAATTCAACCAGGTTGCTTTGGGGTTATTTAAGAATGACAGTTAATATTTTTCAGGAAAACATCCTTCTGTATAGTCGTCCTGTGTCTCTGTGGTGTGACTGGTGCTGACTTAATGGTAGCACCCACACACACACACCCCACCAGTTAGTTCTGTGTTTCTTCCTTATGCTGACCTTGGAACCGTTAGTAGAGACTCAGAAGTTTACTCTTTCATAAATAATGCACTCACTCTGAAATGGCGGGCTGGAGCCTTGTGGCTCAGCATTTTATAGTTCATGCCAGTGGATGTTTTGGTTGAATCAGTCAGGAGCTGTGGACCTAATCCCTTTACAAGTTGGTGATGAGAGAAATGAGTCAGCATTGGTTTTAACCTCAGTAGAGTATGCAGCGTTGATGCATCCCTGTGGCACTGGTAACTTAGTGACTATGCAGTGGGCCCGTACGTTTGTCTGCTCGCTTGTTTTTAGCTGTTTAAACCTCAAGAACTGTTTCTGGGTTAGTAAGCCATATCCATGCCTTGGCACCCAGATAGATGGCAAGGGAACCTTCTGCCTGTCTTGAGTAAATCAGAGGCCAACCCAGCCTTGCTCTGGGGCTAGCCTCTGCTGCGGGTTTACAGTAGATGTGCCAGAACTGCTTAGGAAGCTCTCTTTCCCACAGGAATGTGGGTCACATTCTGGTACAAGGCCTACGCCTGCCGATGACAGGGCAGCTCGCGTTTCTCTATGGAATGAGGTAGAAAAGAGTGATGTTTTGAATAGTACATGAATTCAGTGTAGGCTTTTAATCCAGCAAGTATTACTATGGAAAAACCTGTTTCAAAACAGGTTCTTCCCAGGCAAAGTCGTTGGTTTTACATTTCATTTTTCCCTTTGTCCTCTGTAGAGCAGTTCCACGTCTACATACTTCCCAAGTCTTCTCCCACCTCTGCTCCTTCAGCCTCCTTTTCTTCATCCTTCCTGGACTGCTGTGATAAAAAACACAGGGCCTGATTTTCATATTTGCCCCTAACCTTTTCTTTCCTTATAAAATGCTGCTGCTTTTTAACATCTTGATTGGAGTATAATTGCTTTACAATGGTGTGTTAGTTTCTTGCTTTATAACAAAGTGAATCAGCTATACATATACATATAGCCCCATATCTCTTCCCTCTTGCATCTCCCTCCCTCCCACCCTCCTTATCTCACCCCTCTAGGTGGTCACAAGCACCGAGCTGATCTCCCTGTGCTATGCGGCTGCTTCCCACTAGCTGTCTCAAATGCTTCTTTTTAAGACCAGAAAGTGTGAGGGAGCACTCTTATTTCATGGCCAGTGGTTTAAAGAAGAATAGTTATTTTTCAAAGTAGACTAGTGAGCTTTCAATGTTAAATGTCTATTGACATTTTTTCCAGGAGAAACGTTGATTTTTCTCTCCCTGTTTTTCAGGCCCTGCCTTCTTCCCCGGGCGATGTGCTGAGATCTTTGCCCGGGGTCAGAGCATCGGGAAGCTGGGGGTCCTTCACCCTGACGTTATCACCAAATTCGAGCTGACCATGCCCTGCTCCTGCGTGGAAATCAACATTGAGCCGTTTTTGTGAAGATGGGTCTCTGTTGTGTGGTTCTCGCCCCGAGGGTCCCTCTCTCCTCCTAGGTGCCCTTTAGTTGTCCCCACAGTAAGTCAGTCCACTTGTGCTTGTGCATTAATGTTGAATAAAGTAGAAAGCAGTGTCTGGCTCCGTGGGTGGTACTGCCATCCCCGCATCAGGCCAGCTTGTACATGAGAGCCCAGTGGGGGGCCAGGAGCTGTTCTGAGAAACAGAGAAGCTCTCCACACATCAGAGCCTCTCACCATCACGTCTGCAGGACAGAATCCTGTTCTTTTCCCTGATGAAATGAGATAGCTGATTAGAGCACACGTACGAGATTTAACTAAGAATTTTTAGTTCTTATTTTCTATGTTTGTTTGATGCATGTTCATCACTGGGAAACAATAACAGCATTTTTAGAAAACTTTTAAGAATTAGTGATGGTGTAATAGTTACAGCCTTTGAGGTCATCTTAAAGTGAAAGAAAAATGCACATATATTCAAAATATTTGAGGGTGCATTGGTATTGGCTACTTGCTAGAAGAGTTAAAAGGGACACACTGGTACCAGTGCACTATGAACATTAGGAAACAATGAAGAACTTATTTTTGTCCTAGGCCATACATTTTATTGTTGTCAGTGTTATAAAATCATGCCTTTAAATAATTAATAGAGCTACTAGTTTCTGTCTTATTTTATACGGAGGTATTAGGTCTCTCCTTCTCTGAAGCTAAGCTTCTGCCAGTCTGCCTTGTCTTAACCTCCTAATTTACTTTAATACTTTGATCTAGAATCCTCCAGTAGGTACCATGTATTGAAAAAAGCTGGGTGTAATGTTTGAGAAAAGTTCTCAGTTACTGTTGAGACGATATGAAACACAATAAACTGTAAAACAACTTCAATGTAAGTCCCTGTAGAAATAGCTAATAAGGATAGACAAGAATTTTGTTTATGGAGCTTTTGCTGCACCTAATACTAAGACTATATTACTACCTTGAATCAGGGCAGCAATGTCCAGCTTAGCAAGATTTGTGAACGTACAGACTGCCATCTCCTCCTTCCCAATCCCATTGTCAGCTGATCCTTACATTTCAGTAATGAAGTGAGATACGCATAATGCTCATCAAAAGGTTTGTGTCCAGCATTCATAAAGATTCCTTATAACTTAAGACAACCCAGTTTTTAAAAAACGGACAAAAGATGTGAACAGACATTTCCCAAAAGAAGATAAATGAAATAAGCACATGAAAAGATGCTCAACATCATTAGTCATCAGGGAAATGCAAAGAAAAAAATAAATACGAATTAAGATGGCTAAAATTAAAAAGACTGACTATGCCAAGTGCTGGCGAGACTGGAACTTTCATGTGTGGCTGGTGGGAATGTAAAGGGATAACGGCCACTTTGGAAAATAGTTTTGCAATATGTTAAGTCATGAAACATACATCTGCCATCTAGCCATTCTACTCCTAGGTTTACTCTACTCATATGGCCATACAAAGATTTTTATGCAAATGTTCACAGCAGTGTTATTCAAACAGATGAATGGATAAACAAATTATAGTATATCTATACTATGGAATGCTTCTCAGCAAAAAAAAAAAAAAACGACTGATACTCAGAACAACATGAATGAATCTCAAAACACTACACTAAGTCAAAGAAGCCAGACACAAGACTACAAGTGATTCCATTTATATGAAGTTCTAGAAAAGTCAAAGGCAGATTGATTGATTGGCTGGAGCCTGTGGAAGGGAAATTGCAGGGAGTTAAGAGGAAACTCTTTGGGGTGATGGAAGTATCTATACCTTAATTAAGGAGGTAGTTAAAATGTAGGTTACACCTCAGTAAAGCTGGGAGAGAAAAATTAATGCAACATGTTGTATTTTAATACGAACACCAGCAGATGCACACAAAGGGTAAAAGAGCATGAATTTTAGAATTGGCATGTCTGCGCATGATGGCTTACTGGTCCACTACCATTAGTGAGACATTCTTCCCCAGTTTCAAGTTCGCTATGATTGAAATCAGGGTTTGTGAGTCATGTGATAGCCATTGTTGAAGTGGGTGGAGCCATTAGTTCTGTTAGCAGCCAGCCACCTGCATAATTTTTGGATGGTCAGAAACAACTTGTAATGAAAAACCCAGTGATACCTAACTGTATATCCCAGCATGAAAGGGGTAAGATCAACTCCATCCATCATGTGGAGGTTTCTGCCCTCTGAAGCAGGAGACAGCAGGAAGAATAACAATATCGGGTACATGAGAAGAAGAAACGAATCTTCGGCTTATGAGTGGAGGCTCCATAGCCAGATCGTCTTACACTCACCCCCGTGAGGCATTTGAACTGGAGCCAGAGCAGTCTGTGGGCACTGCCTGCCAGAAAGCTTTTACTGGAGAAGACACACCTATGTAGTAAAAACTGGGAGCCCTCGTATTAAAAGAGGAATTAGATATAATTGAGTCCTGTTCTAGCTTACAGATAACTTCTACAGCCTGACATTCTTGCATTACTCTTCAGTTTATAAAGTATTTTCACATGCGATTTTGTCTCAACATTTTAATTTCTTGGTTTAACAATTGTAGGAGGGAGTTAGAATAGGGATTCTCCCTGACTTATAGGATGAGAACAATTGACAGATTAATAATGTGCCCAGATGTCACATGGCTAAAAAGTGGGTTTGTGACACCTAGTAAGAGTGACATAGAGCCCATGGATCACTCAATGTTTGGCATCATTTACCCACTTACCCAAATGTTGAGGTTTTCTTTTTTTTACCAGTTTTGTTTTTTATATATAAAATACTAAAAAACACAAAAAATTAAAACTTCACTACTTTAAAAAACTGTACAAAGTAAGACCATCCCAACCTAATTTACCCTTCCTCCCGCAATCCTCTAAAGTAACTAACCATTGTTAACAGTTCACGTCATTTCTGACATTTTCCTTAGACACACACACATGCTCAGTTTTGGGGTCATGCTTTACTTACTGGTTTCTGTTTTCTATAGTGTATATCATGACATTTCACTTAATATGCCCCATTTTTCCAGGCCAGTACCTTTAGACCTACCTACCTTTTAAATGATACAAAGTCCTATTGCATGGATGTCCATAATTTGTTCAGCTGTTCCTCTGCTGGTGAACCTTCTGTTGTTGCCAACTCTGCAATTACAAAGAGTGCTCCAGTGGACTTCCATATGCCTCCCCCTAAAATAGCACTGGCTTAGGGACCATGAAAAACCATCCCTAAAGATGCAAGACTATAACCATCCACATTTGGTATTGTCTTAGATATTTGAATACCACACTGGAATATCTTAGATATTTCTTAGATGTGACGTCTGTTCTTGAGCTGTATATAATCTCAGTACATTCGATTTCTCAATGCAGGGCATATGAAATTCTGCTATTACCTTTTACATAGGAGTAGCCTAACTAGGAACCAGCTCGCCTAGCCACTGCTTCTGCCCTCAGTAGTGATGGGCTCATCACACACAATCTTTTGTCTCAGTGTTAGCCTCTGTGCTTGGTGTTTCCTGTAAATGTCACTGACCCCAGTGCTTGGTACTGACTTGGCTCTTTTGTCTGTTTCATCCAAAAGCAAACAAGTGGCCTTAAAGCAATACAACTGCCTTCAGCAAAATATTTCCTCTAAATAAGAAAAGCATTTGACATCTGATCTTCTGAGTTGTGACTTACTATATAAGGAGCTTGAATAATTTTATGTATATAATTTTTTTTTAAAGTAGAGGATTGGGCTTCCCTGGTGGTGCAGTGGTTAAGAATCCGCCTGTAGGGCTTCCCTGGTAGCGCAGTGGTTGAGAGTCCGCCTGCCGATGCAGGGGACGTGGGTTCATGCCCCGGTCCGGGAAGATCCCACATGCCGCGGAGCGGCTGGGCCCGTGATCCATGGCCCCTGAGCCTGCGCGTCCGGAGCCTGTGCTCCACAGCGGGAGAGGCCGCAGCAGTGAGAGGCCCGCATACAGCAAAAAAAAAAAAAAGAATCCGCCTGCTAATGCAGCAGACACGGGTTCGAGCCCTGGTCTGGGAAGATCCCACATGCAACAGAGCAACTAAGCCCGTGCACCACAACTACTGAAGCCCACGCACCTAGAGTCCGTGCTCCGCAACAAGAGAAGCCACCACGATGAGAAGCCCACACGCCACAACGAGGAGCAGCCCCCGCTCGCTGCAACTAGAGAAAGCCCGCGTACAGCAACAAAGATCCCATGCAGCCAAAAAGAAATAGATAAAACAAGCAAAAAAACAAGCAAAAACCTTTAAAAAAAAAAGATGGCGGCATACATAATCAGATTCAAGGCAGGGCTCACCTCTGGGACAATCTGTGAGCAGCTCCCTAAGGCCCCTGACCAGAGTCCATGTGGGGCAATCGGCCTCCTTGGACAAAGGCAGAGGAGCCACGTGGCAAGTACTTGACGACAGTCCGGGTGATTTTCATTTCCACTACCGCCTGTTTTGTTTTCAGTTTTCCTGCCCACCTTCACCTTTCTAGTAAACAGAAAGGATGACTGTAAACATGTAGACTGTGGGTTGAACAAACACCTCCAGCAGAGGGTTTAATTGAATTATGTATGGCTAAAGCCCTGTTCCTTCTCCCTCATGTGACCCATGCAGTGCAGTAAAAATATACTTGAGGCCCACACTACAGTTCTTCACTCCTCATCCATAGGTTTGGGCTTGATTGTCTCTGTTTAAGGAAATCAGGAACATGACATGTTCTGCATTAGAACACATTTTGAAAAAGCCCTCCCCCACCCCTCCCAGGTGTTAGGAGGCGCTTGTCAGACATGCAAAGCAAATCTGCCCTTTCTTTAAGACAGAAAAGTGAGGATGTTGAGGAAATGTGCCTGCTTGGTTCCAAACCTGGTAGAAAAAGAAATTTCCTACATTCCACCCACCCCTAAAATGCATACCTACTTAGGGCCAGCAAGAAACCAGTTGTAACAGAGGCAAACCCGTGTAGACATCCACACTGGTGCTGAAAGGCTATTCAGAGACGGACGGGATTCACTGGAGATCTCTTAGCTGTGATTTTCGGGCACAACGTTTAAACACAGAGCACTGGTAGTGAGCCTGCGGCAGATGAAGCAAAATAAGCCAGACGGAAAGGTGCCCCAATAGCAAACCATGCTGTAGGGAGGAGAGAGATCGTGTAGGTGAGACAACCTGTGGGAAACGCGGAGCACCGCTGTCACGGGGAAGCCCTGGACAGGGTTTGTTCTGGAGCATAATGAAAACAAGCATGGATCGGCTGGACCTGACTGACCTCCTCTCCAGTCTTCAAGTTAGTTCAGCATCTTGCATCCTAGTTGATCCATACATGTAGTCTTCACTTCCTTCTTCCCAAGGAACATTTTCCTCCTTTGCTTACCCATCTAAGAAATCCAAATGAAATACGTAAGGCAATGGTTTTCAACACATTAGACACCAGGCAACGAAGGCCAGTGATTCCCCGAGAGATAGAAAAGAAACAATAGAAAAGAGATAGAAAAGAGAAAAGGTCTGTGATTCTCCAGCTTACGGCCTGGAGAGAGTCCAGGCTGTGGTGCAGCGGTGGGGACCCAGGTGGAGGTCGGAGGTCTCCAGGAGTTGAGGAGACGGAGCTGGGAGTCCACAGAGGCCGAAGCGGCTCGAGTTGGCAGGGAAGTGGAAAGAGCCGAGGAGAGAGAAGCAGAGGCCCCGCCCTTGAGTCTTAAGTTGAGCACTGCCAGTGCGTGCATATGAGGGAACTGCTCGGTAAGAGGAGACCGCCCGGAACATCCACAGGCGTGAGGGAACCGCACTGGGAGCTCACACGAGGTGGGCCGGAGCTAGCAAACCTCAGAAACCATGGGGAGAGTACCCAGAAGGGCTTTGCCTCCGTAGTGGGGAGACCAACTCGAGACTAAGCGTTACTCTGGTTCAACCAATAAAGCTTAAAAGTAAGGTCCAGAAGAATCAAACTACTTCCAAGGAATGAACTGCACCCTAGAACAAAGAATATGTATAGTGATAAAAAAAAATACCCAGCACCCAACACTGTAAACTTCACAGTATCTGGCATCCAATAAAAAAAAGTATCAGGCAAAGAAAGTGGCAAATACAACCAGGAGGAAGGGGAAAAATGAATAAAAAACAGACTGAAAAATTACGTAGCTGATCAAATTAATAGACAAGGATATTATAACTCTATCCCATATCTTTAAGAAGCCAGAGCGAAGATTGAACAAGTCGAGACGTGGAAGGTGGATATTTTGAATTTCTATCAGTGAAAAAACTATGATGTTGGAGATAAAGTGGAAAGGGATACCCTGATGAAAATACTATTACCTATTTAATAGCAGAACTGATTGACTCACTTCGTGAAGAATTTACGTTAAGCTGTGGTTTTATTCCCCCACAGCAAAAATAGTTTTCCAGCCAAATATTTTTATCAGTACCTGATTAAGATGGCTAAAATGGTCTGTGTTTAGTGTGCCCTGCGCAGTTTCCCCTGTCACAGGTTCATCCACCTGGTTCCCACATGACACTGCAGACTGGAAGCCCAGGAGATCCTGGCTCCTATTTAGGCTCACGCATGCAGGTAGATGGCATGATGGCAGTACCAACTGTCACCCTGCCCCACCCGCAGTGCTCTAAGGCTGGCTTTGTGTGTATTGAAGAGGCATTGACATTCTTTGAACCTCTCCATTGAGAAAGAATCTGGCTTGTGCTCTAACCAAGGGGACCCTGATGTCATAGCGAGAGAGTGCCAGCTACAGGTGCCAGCAGGTGTGTTGAGTGTGCGCAGCGAAGAAGCGTCCCAGCCGGAACTCCAGCTACATCCCTGCTTGTCTTGCTGGCTTTTGCTTGCTATACAGACAGGCGTGGAAGAAGAAAAAGGATTTTGGCTTCGTATAGATTTCCCTTGTCTCATGAGGCTACAGTTTTAAGAATTTAACATTCAGCTCTCATTCTTCTTAGTATGCATCCTGTAAGTAGTCAAGTCTGCACTACAGGTGTGCCCCACTTGAAGAAAAAAATGCGTGCGTGGTGTGTCCCAAATAATCCATTAAGGAGCCTTATGTTTACAGAAATGAAGAACTGCCATATGACTTTTAAACAGCAAATCCCTCAGTGCACTTAAAATTCACATTTAAACAATCAAAACACAGGCGGCTTTTAGGAAAACATCTATCCCATAAAACGAGATACGTCTATACTCACATCCCACTTGTTTCTGGTTAACCTCTCTTACTAGAGAAACAGGGCTTGGTTCTTGATCATCAAAGAGCAACGTGGAGTATTTACAGGTCCTGGAAAGAGCCAGGATCGTGGTAAAATGTTTTTAAGATGAAGTTTCATGGGACTGCTTCAGGGAGCTGAGCAAAGAGAAGAGGGAAGAGGCACGGGCGCCAAGGGCACAGACTGAGTCCCTCGCTGCCGTCCCGTCTGCTGAGAGACGAACAAGAGGACGTGGGAATGACAGGTTCAGAGACGGCAGAAAGGGAAGGCACCCACGGGTAAATATTCGAATGAAGAACAATGAAAGGAGACTAATCGCCTGTAGATGTCAACTCCTCTGGATGGTCCCATGTGGAGGCAAGGAAATGGACTAAAGAGCTGCTTCTGCTTCCTTCCTGTTCTCGTGATTCGGTTCTGCAACATCAAAGCCCCTTGCTGACCGTTTATCCCACCCCTGCCACCACTGTTATTCCCACACACACTCACCAGCACGGGTGTGGTCTGTCTTCTCTTTGTTAGAGCTGGAGGTTTTTGGAGAAGTGTCTCTGGCAAGCTGTGCCCTCACCATGGAGTACCATCTCATACCTACTGTGCATCACATCCCTGTGCAAACCCCATCTGTTCTTTAAGCCTGGCTCACACACTACTTTTCCCACGAGCCTCCCTTGAGTCACAGACCTCAAAGATGGAATTCCTCTCTCCCTCTTCTCAATTCACACTACAAAGTTATCTTTTCCCTACAGCCTTAACACTTTGGGTCTCGGATTGTAATTTTCTGAGCCTGAGTCTCCTCTCTCTGGAGAGAACTCCACAGGGCAGATGAGGTCTCATCCGGCCTCAAGCATGCAGCATATTAGGTATTAATGAAATACACAGCATTCAAGGTACAAATAGGTCCTAGCCTCAGCCTTGCAAAGAAGAGCGTCATCAGCTTCTGGCACCATTTCAAATAGCAAGGGACGCTTAAAGGCAGAGCATATTGTTGCAATGATGTGAATGTGAAATGCGGTCATGTCCATTTTGTTCAGCAGACAACACACTCATCTGTTTTACTTACCTTTACCAGCCTCACCTTTAACATTTACCTTTCAATACATAGTGACATTTATCTCTACGTATGGTTAAGAGGATGCTCTTTAGTATCAAGGAGTTGAAGGAGGGTAATTAAGCATGCAATCTTACCACTTACTTCCTGTTCATCACACCTGTGGCTGCTATCTACGATGCTCACCAACATTTGCACGTGACTGAATCATGACAGCGATAGAGAATTGTACAGCCTCCTGTTTATTTTTGTCGCCTCTTCTCAACTCAGGTCGCGTGAACCCTGAGGATCTGGGGGAAAAAGATCTAGGAAAAAAAAAATTCCAAGGTGGTAGAACACTGGGCTTTTAAAGCATTTAATAAGTCTTAATCAAAGAAAAATGATTTTATTTTAAAAAGAATAAATTTACATACGGTACATAAGCAAGACAGCTGAAAGTTTCAAAAATAGAAACCCGGAGCCTATGGCCCCGAAACACCACATGCTTTGGTTACACTCGGGAAGCATGAGTCGACTTTTGGGCAAGAAAATCCTGTGCTACACTGTGATCTGCAGGCACGTGGAGGGGCGATTTCAGCTGTTGAGGGTTTTTAGTTCATGGTCTCGTCTGCGTTTTCTTTTGCATATTCTGTTATGGTGCAAGTCCGAGCAAAGCTGGCCTGAGATGATGGCTGTTTAAAATGACAGTCACAGGGTGATGTCCTGGTCCAGAGAGGTGGTGGGCTGCGGGCGGGATGAGGACCACCAGGAACAGGGCGTGTGTTCTTCCTGGAGGGGCCAACGACCCCGAGGGCTCTGCTGTCACCATTTCCAAGTTCAGGACTGGCCAGACCGCAGGTCCTAAGCTTAGATTGGATACATCACGGTGAGCTGGATTCTGAAACTCCTCCAGGACTCCCGTTCAAGAGAGAGGCTCTGGACCAAGCCTGACGCAAGCCAGCAGGGGGCAGTCTTTCCCCAGAGAGACAATCCAAAGGTCAGAGACAGAAGGCATATAGTCTTTGAAGGGGCGTGTGTGTGTGTGTGTGTGTGTGTGTGCGCGCGCGTGCGTGCGTGCGTGAAGGAGAGACTGAGAGGGTGTGAGGGTCTAACAGAGTGAAGCGCTGTGTGAAGTGAATGAAGAGGGCTGGCCGAGCTGCAGTTTGAATCAGGTAAGGACTTTTCCAACCAGTTTCTAAGCCACAGAGCTGTAGTGCTCAAAAACTAAGCTTGGCCTCACCAATATGCACATTTTATTCTTCAGATGCTATATCAAGAGACTTTGAAAAGCGACCAACCATGACAAATCCATGGGTCTTTCTTCAACGAGCTGGGGCTAACATACTCATCCTCAATCCAAATTGTGTAAGTACAGCCTTAAATATATAATACAGCTGATCGCAGTCCTATTGTTGGGACTTAAAACGAAAGGACATCAGTAAAATTTACACACACAAATGAATCACCCACACCCACTGCTGTGACAGTAATTATGGCCCTTCTCAAAAGATACAAGTGGAAAAGGCTGATCTTTTTGCTAGTTGGCTTCAGAGAAATCAACTAAAATCATTTCGCGTAAATATTAGCTAGCACTGTGACCTCGAGTTTGGCAGCCTGTGGGGACGGAGGTACAGGGAAGTGCCCCATGCACTGCATTGTGGGGCGGCCTAGGGCAGGGGTGCCCGTGAGCTGGGGCATCTCGCCATCACGGTGCCACAAATACTGGTCAGAGTATGATCTAAAAACAGGCAAACGGCAGGTCATTTTGACCCCTGCCCTCTAACTGTGAAAAATGTCAGAAGAATTTGAAGGAAAAACAGGATGTCTTACAATTATTCTTTTCAATAAACTGGAGCATTAAGTCAAATACTAAGGATCATCACAACCAAAAGGCCAGGGTGCGTATTCAAAATCAGGAGAAACGGGTGTTCAGTTTTCACGCTGGATGCAGAGGTAAGGGCCTGACTCTCCAGGCAGGCTAATTTTCCCCCGAAGTGTGTGCATGGTGAGGATGCAAGAGGGTTATAAATCGTTGGCTTCAGCAGCTCAGGCACTACACGCAAAAGACACGTCGTTAATTACATGTTGATACTCACTTTTAAGAACATTGTTGATACCTGTTCCTCCTCATTCTTAAGAACTGAAGAGGAGCCCCTGCAGGGGGTTGTCTGCATAATGACCACCTTCCTAAGTCTAAGGCCTCTCCCGAGATTTAAAGGGTGTTGTATTTTGTTGGCTTGTTTTCCTAAGAGAGGCTGATGTGGTTCTTGCATTAATTCCCCTTAAAATTGCCAAGAGGTAAGAAAGAGGTGGGAAGATGGAAAGGGAGCCACTGGTTCTATTCAGATGAGCAAATAGATTTAGGAAACTAAGTGGAGGAACAGTGTCAGGGAGGGAGGCCTATTCCCTCTGTCAGGCCCCAGGAAGGATTATGTTCATCTGTTCTTCTATTGATCCACTTTCACGGACAGACAACACTGTCTTCCCAGTTTGTAAGGAAGCAAAAAAGCTGAAGCAGAGGGCTTGTCCCAAGTCACTCTGATGCAGGACAGAGCAGGACACTCAGAGGAACCCAGATGAGGTGAGAAGGGAGCAGCCAGTTGGGTTCATGGGTCAGAAGAGGATAGAAATGGTGCCTGGAATCTTGCAAAGTGTACAAACGAGGAGGAGAGGACCCCTGTCCAGTATGCACCTGACAGAGACCAGGATGCATAAGGAAAGCAGGCTGATGCCTGTGACCTCGCCAGCTTTGCCCCCGCCTTTCATGCTTCCCAGCGAGGTTCACAGTGCTCTTTCCCCCCAAGCAGGCACTGTCTAATGTGATCATCATGACCAGAAAGTCGCCCTGTCCAAGGAACGCAGTTTCACGTGGCGCCACCCTTTCTCTTGGACCAACATTCCAGTTTTGGAAATGAGACTCAGTGCTGGGCAAGGTCACAGCTGAAAAGGAACGCCCGACGTCCAGCCTCCTGGATCATGCCCGTCTCTTTAGGCTCTCCAGAACCCAGGGGGGGCTTGTGGCCGTTCCTAAGCCAGGCCACAACTCCTGCCAGCCCAGGACTGGTTCAAAGTCCAAGTAATGGACAGGGTGGGGCGCCTTAAAGAACTCAGCTGTGGGTTTGCCTGGCTTCATCTGCAACATGACGCTTAAAGGCTAGTGGTCACCGTGAGACCATTTTTCCTTCCATAAAGCAGCAACATTTATCTCAGGTATCAGCAAAACAAACATGTGACTTAGGGAATTTTTTTTTTTTTTAAAGAAAAATGTGTTGTCAAAACTTCCCCACTCAACAGCTTTTTGGTGTCTTGCTCTCATGTCCAGTGAGCTAATTTCCGACCACTTGAGGCTCACAGTAATCCCAGAAACCTGTGTAGCATTGGCACGAAGGTGGTAGCACAGATGCCAACTGACGTGTAGGTGACAAACTTGTAAGGCACTTCGATCTCCAGCCTCTGCCTGGCCTCCTTGTTTCTGGTGACCACCTTGAACCAGGAGTACAACACTTGCAGCGAGAGGTTTTGTACAAGCTGACGAACCAGGAGAATCAGCACAATTCCCACAGTAAATTTGGTCAGACCCAAAACTAACAGGTCGCTGGTGAGCGGTGGGATGTTCTGAATAACAGGGAGGGATTCCGTGGGCTTGGACACGAGCTGGAAAAAATGGTTGATCCAGAATCCTATGGTCACCCCAGCCCCGGCAGCCATGATGGTGGTGGTGTCCCCTCTGGTCGGGCTGTAGTAATCAGACACGGGGTAACTGTAGCACAGGAAGAATGGCACCACCAGGACACACACAGGGAAGAGGGGGCTGGCCGAGTCCAGGCGATCGATAAGGGTCCAGGCGGGGTAGGTGAGGACGATGAGGATGGCGGTGATCAGGATGCCACCCAGCACATCCTGCGGGAGAGAAATGGACGGTGTGCGTCAGATGAGTGCTCCCCTGTATACAGGTATAATTTTGATTCAAATATAATTGATTTGACATTTAAAATACAATTTTTGTATTGTTTTATAATACTTTCTTTTTGCGGTACGCGGGCCTCTCACTGTTGTGGCCTCTCCCGTTGCAGAGCACAGGCTCCGGACGCGCAGGCTCAGCGGCCATGGCTCATGGGCCCAGCCGCTCCGCGGCATGTGGGATCTTCCCGGACCGGGGCACGAACCCGCGTCCCCTGCATCGGCAGGCGGACTCTCAACCACTGCGCCACCAGGGAAGCCCTAATACATATTTTTAAAAAGTACAGTTGTAGACATTTGAAAATAGGAAAAATACAAACCACAATCACGCTATTCATGCTATGTCTTTTCTTCCAGTTTTTCTGTCTTTTGGAATAAATTATTTTCTTAATGCATAGCTATAATCACACTGTTCCTTCAATCTTTTTTTTTTTTTTTTTTTATTTTTTTATTTCAAAAAACTTTTTTTTTGGCTGCGCCACACAGCTTGCAGGATCTTAGTTCCCCGACGAGGGACCAAACCCAGGCGATGGCAGTGAAAGCGCTGAGTCCTAACCACTGGACCGCCAGGAATTCTCTATTATTTTTGATTTCATAGTATATCACAAGGGCTGTCATGATCTTTACAGAGGTGGCGTCATCCTTTCTTGGCAGGCAGGGGTCGGGGCTGCAGCTGGCTGGAGGAGGAAGCTGGCTGCTTCGGGAGCCACTTCCTAGCAAGCACACCGTCATTACTTACGGAACGCGTTTGTCTGGGGTGGTTTGAGAAGACGCTGTAGATGTGGTGGTGCCGAAGCTCCGCCATGCCCGTCTGGGCACTACCACTCTGTCTTCAGAGACAGAATTTCAAATAGTGTATAGATTTCACTGGGTGCGTGCACCATGCTTGATTTAATCAATCCTTCTTTACATTTTAGATTCTGGTTTTCTTTCTTGCTTCCTCTGACCCTCCCACCTTCCCTATTTCTTCCTCTTTCTCTCCCTCCCTGCTTGCTTCTTTCCTTAAACTCCTGTTTAAAATATTTTTAACTCCTTAATGTCATCCACTTTCTTCTTCCTTTAGTGTTCTCACAGCAAAATTCATTAGGTGAATTTTTTTTTTTCCACACACACACTATATTTTATTTTTACAAGAGATAAATCAACTGACACCAAGGATTGTAAATGCATGACCACAACAAAAGCAACAGTGATTGCAATTACCAAACACGAAACACACTCATGCTAGGTCATGATATTGACATTCAGTCCAGGAATCCTCCACTGTAACAGCTCCTTTACTTTGCAGTGAAAATTGACTTGTATATTTTTGCCTCTGAGTCCCTGTGGGATTTTTTTTTTTTTATTCAAACAGAAAGTCACAAAAACTATAATCATCCTCATCGGTTCACTCAGTCCCATGTAATTAATTTTTTTTATCTTGATCTTTTACGAATTCATCAGTTTTCCATTAGAGTTCTGAAAATGCTTATTCATTCAGTTCAGCAGTATAGTCAGTTACCAGAAACCTGTAATTGTCAGAGTCTTTTGCATGAATTCCTTGAAAATGAAACCCTTTTATAGGAACATTTTTGCAAAAGCATCAGAGTACTCCCAGAACTGTCTGTGAGTGACAAAAGACTTAAAAATGACCACGGTTAAAGATTTGATGAAAGTTCATAATAATGCAATTGACAAGGAAATTTAGTTATTTCTGAGATATGCATTTTAAAGTGATAACTAGAATTATGACTTATAACATTGTACCAGAACATATAAGATTTTTAGAAATTTCATGTAATGTCTGAAACATTTATATTAACATATTTCCACACAAATAAGGTGAATTCTTAATGTAACCAAGAAATGAATACATCTAAGTCAGAGAATGAGGAGCTTGCTGTGGTTTTGTTACAAAGTTTCACATGGATTCTTTTGAAAGTTTACCATTGGAAAATTGAAACACTTTCCTCAACGTATTGGAAAATCTGGGAAACACCAAAAAGTAAAACACATGCATTGTGGAAAAACTGGAAAGCACTGAAAAGTATAAGAAAAAAAAAAACCAGATCCTTATTTCCACCACCTACAGTTAATGCTGTCTATATTTTGGCATGTTGCCTTCCACTTTTTTTTTTTTCATATAAACATAAAATAGAACTCTAAGGGCTTAGGTTTGTTTTTTTTTTTTCTAATAGCTTCATTCATTATTTCTCTTGTTTAGTTTCTAATAAAATGACATCTGATTTGAGTGAACAATGGGTGAGAATCAGACCTTAGAAATAAACACTGAGGCTACAGCAAATTTCACAGATTAGAGGGCATCCATTCTTCCTTCCAGTGCCCATGTGTGAGTGCCTGCTATATGCCAGACACAGTGCTGGAGGATCCAGTGTGAGCCAAACAATCACAACCACATCTAGGCAGAGCTTACAGCTTAGTGGAGAGACAGAGGATTACTGTTGTTGAAGAGGGAAAGGGATAAGCCTGTGGATCTTGATGGTCCCTTGGGGCTGGAGAGTAAAGAGTAAACACAGGTAGGAGATACTTCCCACAGGGCCCTAGAGTCCAGTCCGCTTCCTAAAGCCTGCATCCAGGGAGCAACGTGAAGCCACTGATGTCGCTCTCATTGGGCACCAACATGACAAGAGTTTCTGACTGCAGTGAGAACAGATAGGAGAGGGGCAAGCGTGGGGGAAAGCCTTGTGTCGCTGCATGTCCTTCACGTGGCACCTGGGCTTTACCTGTCCTTACTTCCGCCATCATCCTTCTCTTCAAATATCCCTCAGGCTTCACAGTCTCCATGATCTTTCTCCCCATGACCTTCTCCTGTGCTATGATTATGCACGGATGTTACTTTATTTTTGGGGAGAAAAAGGAACAATCCTTCATTTAAGTTTCCTGGTTACCAGAACTGGAGCCAAACTCTTGAATTGAATTTTCTACACCTGTCATCTCCACTTCTGCACCTTGAAACACAAGTGCTGTCAACCTAGACTTAGATGATACACCATTCTCAAAGGCCACTTACTAGACATTTGCTGGTTGTTTCTTCAGCATCTGTCTTTGACCCAATAGCCTCATACCTCCCCTTGGGGATCCATGAAGTTCTGGAAAATTATGGAGTTGGAGCACATGACCTAGGTAGGCCAATCAGTGCACTGTATCTCCTGGTCACCGTGATTGGTGCAGGGGTGGTCATGTGACCTACACCAGTCCAATCAGACAAAATTGTGGGGGTTTTGCTTGGAACTCCTGGAAAGAGATGTTCTTTCTCTTTCTGAACACTGGGCCCTGTGGACTGACACCCTTCACTTAGCAGACCTTTAATATTCAGCTTTTATTAATATTACCCTGCACCATCTTGGCTCTTCTCTGACCTCTAAGAAGTCTCTTTCTTGGTTTCCTCCTTTAGATCCTAATAGATCCTAAACAGGCATTTTCACAGATTCTGTCTTCAGGCTCTGCCTGTTTTTCTCTGTTGAATAGTTTGCGTAGTTTCTATGTTGTGTTAGTTTCTGCTGTACAACATTGGAGACATGGATTTGAGTGTCACGCTGGTAGAGAATGGAGAGATGAGGCCATGGACCTACACAAACTTTGCAACAGAGAAAAACATGCAGAGCCTGAAGACACAGTCTGTGGAAATGCCCATGTTTAGATGCTCCAATAAAAATTTTAATTTCAAAAAACTGGTCAAATAAGCTATTGTATAGTCATTGAGTGGAATACTATGCAACAATAAAAAAGCAAAGCACAAAAGAAAAAAAAACAACTATGTCTCCAGGTGTCTCTCTCAAACTTTAGTCCTGCCTCTTTAGACTGAAAGCTAGACATTTTCATTCAGACGTCCTGTCAGCCCCCCCAAACCAACTTGTCTAAGATAAAAGTCACCAAAATGAGTAAAGGAAATGAGCACTTTATAGGAAAAGAAATACGAATGCTTCTTAAACATATAAAATATACCTAAATTTACTCATAAGAAGAAGTAGAAATTAAGCTATGCTGAAGAGAAATTAAAATTTACATTCACACAAAAATCAGTACACAAATGTTTACAGCAGTTCTATTAATAATCACCCAGAACTGGAAAAAAGAAACCCAACGTCATTCAAGGGGTAAATAAACTGTGCTACTTTCATACAATGGAATACTTCTCGGCAATAAAAAACAACAAACTACTAATGGAGGCAACAGCTTTGATGAAATCTCCAGGAAATTATGCTGAATGGAAAAAGCCAGTCTCCAAGGGTTACATGCTGTGTGGTTCTATTTATATGACATTCTCTAAAAGACAGAACTACAGGGATGGGGAACAGATCAGTGGTTGCCAGGGTCTAGGGGCAGAGGGAGGGTGTGACTACAAAGGGAGAACATGGGGGACTTTTTTGGGGTGATGGAGCCATTCTGTTGTTGCGGTGGTGGTTACTCAGATCTAACCCAGCGTTAAAATCCAGAGAACTATACACCCAAGGCAAAATCAATTTCACTGTTTGTTCATTTAAAAAAATAAAATAAAAAATGACATTTTAAACAAAAATAAAAAAGCTGGTGGCCTCTCTTGTTTTCTCTAAATAACAGTGTTGTGCGTGCTGTTTGTGAACCACTGCTCTGGAAACCCAGAGGTTCCAATGTGACCCCGCCCTCCCTCCCCTGCCCCACAAACCACTGAGAATGTACCCCTCACCTATCAGCATTAACAAAATCCAAAAGTTCGACAGTATTCTGTTGATGAAACAGTAGTTGGGGGCAAAGGGACTCTTGTCTCTCAATCATATGAATAAAAAATGGCACAACCCTTCTGGGGAGGAACCTGGCAATATTTTTAAAAATTACACATTCATATAACCTCTGACCAACAATCTCACTCTAGGTCTTGACCATGGAGATACACCTGCCTGTGTCTGTAAGGAAGTATTTACAAGCTGTCCGTTGTAGTATTGTTTGTAATAGCAGGACCC